TCAACTATGGTGAGTTACACTTCCAATCGAATTACTTCACGGTTGACCTAGTATATTTTATTATCCCGGCCCATAAATATTCATGTTATATCAATTTCTTCGCGTCAATATACAGTTCCTTGATCTCCCTGACCCCGCTACTTGGGTGGACTACTACACAGTGATCACAGAGCCGCGGAGTCTCAATGGTGTACAGGAAAAGTTGCAAAAGAACCGATATAGAAATATTATCGACGTCCTCAATGATTTGCATTTGGTATTCGCTAATGCCCTACATTACAATGAGGCCTCTTCCCAAATTGCAAAGGATGCCGCTGTTCTCAAGGTGTGTCTTGAATGACTCCAAAAGGCGGGATGCTGATACATTACGTTCATCTTGTTTCATAGTCACTGTTCGAGCAGCTTTGGAAGGACGATCCATACCTTCCCAATGCCCAACCGACCAAACAACCAGGTCGCAAGCCAGGATTCCGTGCCGCTCCTCTCCCCCGAATGTCCTCATTTGCAACACCGATGAGGCACAGTGGCGGCTTTCAGCCTTCCTATTCGACGGCAATGGCAACTGTCCAGGTCAAGCCAATTGGTAAACCACCGGCTCCGATTGTCGCTCCCCGGCTACAACCGCTTAAAAAAGGAAAAAGGAAAAGGACTCAGAAGCAAGGAGATTTACCCAGCACGAGCGACTCTCGTCTTATCAGTCGACCCCGCCGTCCCGGATCTCCGGCGTTCTCAGAGATCAATTTCAATTCCAATCTCGAAGTTGAAGACGATGATTCTGAAGTACCACAAACTCACATTGCTAACGAGGCGGAAACGGACGTCATTGTCCAGCGATTGGACACAACACTACCAAAATGGGAGCCCTGGCAACAGACTGCAGAAAATACTGTGATATTGAACTCGGGTTGGATGACTGAACTACATGGAGGAGCACTTCAGGCTAAACTGGAAGAATTCGTGTCTCGAATGAAATCATTTTTAAATGCCTCCCAGTTAGTGACGTCTCTTTTGAGCTCAAATAGACTCACTCACAGGCTCTTTAATATAGACAGAGGCCTCTTAGTGTCTTAGAAGAAGTAGCTACTCGTCCTGACCCATCAACTATGGTGAGTTACACTTCCAATCGAATTACTTCACGGTTGACCTAGTATATTTTATTATCCCGGCCCATAAA